AAAAAAAAACTAGAGGATTTTATACACCTTCCTGCAGGAAATGACTGCTGTGCAAAGCTTTCACCCCCGGCAAGCTTTTCAAGACAAACATTCATCAGGAGAGCTGCTCTGTCTACAAACTGTTAGCTGTTAGAAAATATTCCAGAATAATCTCTTAGCAGCTTTGTGATATAAACATGAATGTACAAACTACTGTTAGTGGATTACCCGTGATATATATAAAAAACATATTTACAAAGTAACATTTGAAAAGTATTTTTTTACTCAGAATTATAAGGCCTATTTCATGTAAATTAACAATGGGGATTGTATTTTGGGCTCAAAATGTATTATAATGCCTCATTTAATGTATTCCATGGATTATGAATATATTCCTTATACCCTCCATGGCTAAAACCTATTTTAAAACTTTTATAGCACAAAGCTAGCATTTTTCTTAAACAATCATACCTGATCAAAGATTGTTTAGCAATTTTCTTTCATGTTGTTTTCTGCCTTCATATAGCTTTTTTAAAATTTAATTTTATTTATAGCTACACACTGTAATGGTTATGGCTTCAGATTGGACTTGTCATTGTGAGGAGTTACTGATATTGTGTCAGTAATGTCATACAGACAACTAATTATTGTTATTAATTAGTTGATTTTTGAATGATTTTCCAACAGCTTGTTGAAAATTTTAAATAGAAATAATATTTTAATGTGTAAGAGACCTTTATGTACATTAATGTGTTTTCTGTATTTGAAAATAAATGTGTACAGTATATATACAGATGTATATATGTTATTGAATTTATGACGGGTTTAGCTAATGGCAAGTTTTATAAGAAGTGTATTTTTAAGGCATTGAGTCATTATTTAGCTCGTGAAACTTTGAATCATTGCACTGTTATGTGCTAGGAGGATGTTCATGATTTATTTTAGAGAATATGATTTGAGATCGGTAAGCTACAAAGGCGCATTTCACTTTTAGACTTTTAAATGAGAGCCAATTAGAACTACTGTTACTGTTACTACTGTTTATGGAGAACTGTGAATGTCATAGAGAGCTATATCTTGTAGTAAATAGGTGGTGGGGTTTTCATACTTTAGGTGCAAACAATATCAGTTAAAGTATGCTGTTAAGTGTTGGTTGGAGCAAATCAGTTCAGGTAACATAATTGATTTAATAGAGATTATAAATTTAAATAAGTGGTTGTAGTCACACAAAAAAAAAATCAAGTGTTGGACACTTTGTGTAGGAAAATCCATTGTCCTTAAATATATCTGTTTCTTTACATGTCTGAGTACACAGTGTAAAAGAATATAAGAAATAAGATATATAAAAGATGTTGCTGTAGAAACGTTTGTCACTGTAGATACGCGTGTTGTTCTGAGAGTGTTTATGTGAATGTAATGGTCGTTCATGTGACTTTAATCAGTACTTTCTAATGAGGATGAACGACAAGGTAAGGGTCCTCACAAATAAAGAAATGCAAACCCTTGTGTGTGTTCTCAGTTATTCTCAGTGAAGTCTCTGCAAATGCCTCGGACCACTAGTGGGATAAACTCAGAAAGGCCGCTGAACTCTCTGGTGAAGAAAGTGTGGCTGTCCTTTGGCTCTGATGACATCGCTTTGAGATCATCCAGGGGTGCCCACGCCACGCCCACTGAGAAGATGGTAATGCCTGGTTGGGAAGGAGAAACAGGAGAAAAAGTGAGATGTAACTTAAGGTTAAGTATATAAACCAGTTCTTGTTGAGTGTCATCTGCATAGCAGTGAAAATGAATGCTAAGCCTTCTAATGATACTGCCTACAGGAAGCAATGTAAACAGAATTGGTCCTAGCACTGAACCCTGTGGAACTCCATAATTAACCT